TGCAGCGGAGTGATCAAGGAAGATGGAACTAAGCAAAACCCAGGAGATTTGGTTTTAAGAATATCATTGAAGATTTTCAGAAAAGTATCTTATTTGTGTGTTGAGGACTGAAATACAAACACATTTATTTAGTTGTGTGTTTTTTTTTATAATGTGCTACTTTATGAATACATTTAAAAGGATAAACAGTCCTTTCAATGCAGAGGAAAAGAACAGACATTGCTCTAGCACAAAGTATTTAGTTTTTATTTTAAACTCATTTTAGAAATTTTAAAGGGTGGCAACAAGACCACGATGGACTAGAATGCTTTGAGGTTGACATCACACTGCTGCTCCCTGACACTTTTTCATGTTTGTCTCTGTCCCTCCCTGCCTCACTCTCTCCTCCAACTTCTTAACCACTTTTACCTTTAAATATAGCTGGAGATTGCTCACTGGGTAGATAAGTGGAGCATACGTGGAGAAGTACAGGATGAATAAAGAAGAAAACTAAACCCGGCTGGCATGGCTCAGTGGTTGAGCATCAGCCTATGAACCAGGAGGTCACGGTTCAATTCCCGGTCAGGGCACATGCCCAGGTTGCAGGCTCAATCCCCAGTGTGGGGCATGCAGTAGGCAGCTGATTAATGATTCTCTTTCATCATTGATGTTTCATTCTCTACCTCTCCCTCTCCCTCTTCCTTCCTCTCTGAAATCAATAAAAATATGTTGAAGAGGAGGAGGAAGAGGAGGAGGAGGAGGAGGAGAAGGAGGAGGAGGAGGAGGAGGAGGAGGGGAGGAGGAGGAGGAGGAGAAAGAAGACTCAGATGTAATAGAGTTATTACCACCAGATTGGCTATTATGAGGAGGCCCCCAAGTGCAGGGGTTCTAGAGGAAGGAACTGCAGAGGCAGGATGTATGAATTGAAGTGATCTGGGCAGTAACCACGTAAATTCACAACTGATATTCTATATCTTCTCCAAGCTACATGTCCAGAAGTCATTACTGTAAGGATAAAAGGCAAGAATCAAGAGCTTTATCCTTTTCAATTTCCCTTAATTTCTCTACTTCTAATATTCCAGTGCTAAAGTTGGGACTCTTGACTGAAACACCTGATATTATAAATAACCCTAAAATAAAACCTAATAAGAATTACAGATGGCTGTAATGAAAATTTGAATGTTCCTCTTTCTAACTATGACCAAATACCCTACTTGTGGCTTTAGGAGGGGGATAATGAAGAGAGAAAGGTAGAGAAAGAGAGAATACAGAGAAGTTTTAAGCAGATACAAAGGAATATTAATAGGAACTAATAATGTGAATGGTGTTCCATCTCAGCAAAAGCACTGAACCAAAGTTAACGTTGCCAAGAGAACCTAGCTTTAGCTCCCACTGGCTCTTGGGCCTCATTCTCCAGAGCTGGTACAGAATACACCGAGAATATTATAGAACACAATTAACCCCAAATTTATTTTCAGACTATATGTGTACTTGCATTTTGATTATTATTACTTGCCTTTAACTTTTCTAGATGAATGAGAAGATGCTGACACAAAATTTTAATTACTGCCCTTTCTTTGTGAATTGAATCCATGAACGTTTCAAGAGAGAGAAGATAAAAGTACATTCCTTGTTCCACTTATCTGTGCCAAAGGGCTTGGCCAGACCCAGAGCTGAGGCAGGCTAGGGATCAGAGACCTTGAATTGCTTGCTACTTAATACCTGTTCTGCTCCAGGCTACACTGAAGGTTTAGCTTTGATAGTTCAAGGCTAAAAGCCAGTTTTGATAGTTGGCCAGAGGGAACATTTTTAAAAATTAATCTCTTTATACAGCAATACTTCTTCATGAAGATGAAGTGTACTTCCAAACTATCCTAAGTCCAAGTTTATCCTCATTTATGGCTCTGGGAGTTAAAATTCATCCAGCAGCACCACAAAGAGCATTTTTTACAGCTGAGTCAAGTTTTCTAATTTTCAATCAATCAACCAACATGTACTTAAAGGGCTCAGTATAATAGACACATAAGTGAAAGGATTTTGCTCTGAGATAATTGAAATTCTGGTTAAGATGGAAATTAACTCAAACTAAAGATAAAGAAATACACTGTTCGATATTGAGCATTAATATAAAAGAAATTCAAAGAATAAAAATTAGACTGAGCCAGGAAAGTTCAAAATGGCTTTGAAAGGGCCTGGCCGGCGTGGTTCAGTGGTTAAGTGTCGACCTATGAACCAAGAGGTCATGGTTAGATTCTAGGTCAGGGCACATGACTGAGTTTCAGGCTCAATCCCCAGTGGGGGGCGTAAAGGGGGTAGTCGATCAATGATTCTCTCTGATCATTGATGTTTCTATCTCTCTCTCTCCCTCTCCCTTGCTCTCAAATCAATAAAAACATATTTTTTAAAAAAGTTGAAAGGAACATAACAAGATATGAGCTAAGAAACAGAATAGTAAGATACAAAAAAACAACAACAAAAACAACCAAGGAAAGTAAGCATTATAGGTGAGGGACAAAATTAATAATAAAGTCAAGAAGTAAGACTGAACATAGTATTAGGGATGGGGACAGGGATTGGTATAAGGTATAAGGAATCAGTTTAAGTAAAGCATGTGTTTGTTAAGAAACATGGTTGAATAAATAGGTATATGGAATGCTTTGAATGCCAAGAAGACCAATATAAACTTAAAGATTAGGCCAGTGAGAGTCACAATTGGCCATTGTTTAGGGAAGCAGCAGCATGAATTTCTTAGAGAGAGTGGTTTAACAGCAGCATAGGGTAAAGATTGGAAGCCACAAAGAAGTTGTTAGAGCCATTTAGGAGTGAAGTGATGAGAACTGCAACTAGAATAATAGCACCCATTTATGAAGCATTCAACACTATCTACTGAATGCTGAAGTGTTTATCACGTGAATGTGAATAAGACAGATAGGGTAATCAAAAGACTTGTATGCATGCATATAAGCATAACCAATGAAACCAGACAGTAGAGGGGTGAGGGCCTGTGCTGAGGGGTGGGAGTGGATGGGTAGAGGTCAATGGGGGAAGAAAGGAGACATATGTAATGCTTTAAACAATAACGAATTTTTTTAAAATAATTTAAATTTTTAAAAACACTAAAAAAAGATAGAGTATTACTGGCCCACAGAAACTGTGAGATAATAAATATTCATTATTATAAGACTCTAAATTTTAAAGTTATTTGTTATAGCAATGGATAACTAACACAGAGGTGAAGCCAGCAAAGGGAACACCAAGTAAGGTTAGAAAAGCAAGAGAGGAATCAAAAAACACACTGCCATTGAAAACCCAGGAGAAGTTTCAAGTAGTAGAAAGGTAGCAGTCAAGGTCAGATATAAAAGAGAAATACAGGATGATGTAAACTTGAAAAAATGTTATTGAACTTGGAATAGTTCAAAATTAATTAAAATGAAATAATGTAAAAGAAAGTGCTTCGAATGATCATGTTGTTACTTTCCTCCTTAAGTAGAGAATGGTAGGGAAGTAGCGTAGACAGCAACAGATACCATAAATTTAAATAATTTATATTCCTAAGTCTATGGATCAACAAGCAACCGATTAAATGGCTAGTGAAAAGTATGTCACATGTACAGTAGTATGTATTTTTTTAAAAAATGCACTTGTTTTAGTGAATAAATAATCTGATGAACAGAATGAACTGTTGATTATAATAGAATCAGGGACATAGAAAGGGAATGGACTGACTATTCTTCAGAGGGAAAGGGGTGTGGGAGATGCGGGAAGAGACTGGACAAAAATCGTGCACCTATGGATGAGGACAGTGAGTGGGGAGTGAGGGCGGAGGGTGGGTGGGAACTGGAAGGAGGGGAGTTATGGGGTGGGGGGGAAAGAGGAACAAATGTAATTATCTGAACAATAAAGATTTAATTAAAAAAATGCACTTGTTTTGATCTAATATCCTAACTTTAATCCTATATTCTCCCCATAACAAAATATGAATCTTTGAATTTATTCAAACCTCTATCACTCACCAAATGGTGCTAGAAATTATTATTTACATGCTTGCCATCCCTATTACAGGTAAGTTCCTCCAAAGTAGGGACCTGTAACTTACTCATCTTTGAAGGCTCAGTACCTAGAACAATACCTAACCCACAGCAGCTGTTCAGTTGCTAATAGAAAATTACTGAATGTAGTAGAAAAACAATGTCTTCAGAGGGAAGACATATTCATAGGTCATTTTTGAGGAATTAAGATTTTTCTTCCATTTCTCTTTGTTACATACTATTGCTTCACTATATTCTCTACTTAGCAACTGTCCACCTTAGAAAATTAGTTGAGGTCCTTCTATCACATGTTCTCTTCTGCACTGATATTCTGCATATTTCACTTCTAATATTATAGACACTTAAATGTCCTTTTCCTATTCAGTAGTAATATGCAATGAATTAAACTAAGTATTTGCTCAAAAGATGAATCTCCAGAAAAAAATAAAAGTAATAACTAAAGACAAATGGGAGATGAGTGAAGGATGTACTATCAATTGTTAGACATCAATCATGTAAGTGATTCCTGTATCTGCTTTTGCATGAATCCCTTGGGTTTCAATTTCTTCATTTCTGCAAGTTCAGACTCAACCCTAACTCAATTCTAACTGAATTATATTGAACTGAACAATATTTTTTTCATGTCTTTCTTCCCAGATCATTCCAAGTTTTGGTTTAGGATGTCAAAATATTTGAGTATATCAAAATCTAAAATTTGGTATTTCCTTGCCCTCAAATTCATAATTGCCTGAATAAAGTAGTTAAGAGGTTATTTTCTAGGAAAAACTTAAGTAGAAACAGAAGAAATAAGAAAATAAGGTAAAGTTATAAAAATATTTTTAAATTAACATTTAAAGTACACATTAGATGTTTAATTTTTTAAAAGCCTATTTAAAGAACAAACCAACTAAATTTTTAGCTTTTAAAAAGGTCCTGATACACCAAATTAATCTATAACTTTGCCCATTAAAATAGAAATAGACTACTACTAACCTTAAGGAGTTATAATCAGGACAAATTCTTACATTGAGAATGTTTGTGGGCATTCACACAGAACAGCTGCCACCCAGGATGGCTAAAATAACACAAATTAGATGTAATTGAGTTAAAGGACCACACCAGGTTTGTAATTCAATTTGTTCTATGCGGTTTAGGTTTGGGTTTATTTTTCCCCTCCAGCAAACCACGGTTTAAAAACCTCATCAAATGGGAAGTATAAAGAAATAGGAATATACATTGCAAATATTTAGCACGAACAATTTACATAAAATCTACTGTAACAGTTTAGACGTTGATTTTTTTTTTTAAAACGTGAATACAAAAAGCACTTATTTAAGCTTCCTTTGAGGGTCCTACTCACTAAAACTTCTTACTGTCCATTTTTCACTCTACCATCATTTATCCTAGCTGTAAGGTGAGTTTGGTTTTGAGCTAGTTTCCTAACTTTGTACACTTTTTACCTACAGGTAAAGTGTAAATTCCAGGTTAGAGTCAATGCCATTTACAGAGCTCAGTTCAAAATCTTTAGGGTCATTAATATGAGTCAAGGGTAACACCAGAATTTTACCACAGCGGACTTTTCAGCAGCCTCAGATATAGTTGATTAAGCACTGCTGATAGATATGGCTAATTACACTGTCATCACTATGTTGATAATTTTGATTTCTATGGGTCTAACCAGCATAGACCTATCCCTAAAAGAATGTTTAGATAAGATGTCCTGAAATTGACCAAACCCAAACCCTTGATGGGAATCCACTCATACAAGGCAATTTGATCACTGAGGGATATTTAAGGAAAAGAGTTCGGCTTAGAAATCTGTTGCCTCTCACTGTGCCCTTTCTGATAGAAGTCATGGATTTGAAGCAAAATTTGAGGTGAAGAACTTTCCAAGTAAGTAGGGTGCACAGCCAGCTTTCAATTCACGCCATGCTAATAGTTCCACATAAAACCAAAGGGTCTGATATAATTAACGGGCTTCATTTCAGAAAATCCTGTTTAACAAGATTTCTCTGATAATTATAGCTTAAGCAGAACACAGCCATAGGAGTGTGTATCAACTTGTAACTAATCAGAAATAAGCACACCTTTTGTTGATATTGATTACCTATAAATTATTTGGATTCTTGCATGCATTAAAAAGTCATTTTGTCCTGGGAAGAGAACACATGAAAACTTTTACTGAGACAAACTCTTGCCTCCACAGTTTTTCCCTCTGGCAGATGCAGACCTGAAAAGCACCTGGCCTAATAAGTCTTCCTTGCATAGCACTCCAGAACACACCATCAGCCTAGCCCCTCCAAAGGCCAGCTCTTCCGAGATTTCCTAAAACTCTAAAACCACACCCAAGCAGCTTAAACCTCTTAGGTGGCTCAGATAGTAAAGTTATCAATCATTTCAAATGAAGAGGGAAACCGATTTTTTTATAAAGAATAATATTTTATTTAGCAATATTGGTATCAGGGGGACGGAATTTTTCTAAATTAAGAGAGCTCGCTATTTAGTCTTCTGCCTGCTATCTGACACCACCTGAGGTATGCCATAAATCTTCCTGAAAGACAAGGCTGAGAAATACTACTGGCTAATTATAGGGGTCTCATGTATAAACCAGATGCTGAATTGCAAGATGGTTCAGATTGTTGCCAGCTAGAACATGCATGAGGCACTCAAACTATCTTGGGAGCCTAATCACTATTTTTATGCCAAAGGGAAAAAAAAGTGGTTCCATTCTTAAAGGTAGAAGAATGCACAAATGTGGCAATGCTATCTTCCTGTCTTAGATTCATTCACAGTGAAAGTAATCTCTTCAACTTAAAAGGTTTGCCTCCACTGAATTAAATAAATCTCCAATTATATAACCATTATCATTTTACAGATGAAGAAATGAAGGCAAGGCAGAATGATGTGACTCATCCACGTCCACATGTAAAAATTATATTGCAATTAGAAAATAAATATACAACTCTTTCCCCCAAGGCAGGATGACCCATGCAGGCATACAACATAACATACAACATTCACACAGAAAAAAAAAAAAAAAAAAAGTGCTCCAGGAAGTCTGGAATACATCAAGAACTTTGTATTCCTCAAGCCCAGGGCAAATCCTATCCCTCTATCCCTTACAGTTCATTCCCCTCACCATTTGCCAAATTTTCTATGATGCTATTAAACTTCTGTTATTTCAATAGTAATTTTTAGAGTAAAAAATTCAGCTTATGTTTTCGAGTAAAGAAAGGAAAAACAACAGCGTATCTTCCCCATTGCCCTTCTTGATCACTTGACTGATTTGAATTCTAAAGTTTAAGAGAAATCAAATAAGTAACCTTTATTTTTTATCTGCAAAGCCATATTCCAAGGCCAATTCCACTAAATCTACAGATAGGAAGAAAACATGTTCTATGGACATAACAAACTTAAGTTGGAAACTAAAGCAAACACCAGCCATCTTTTTAAATGCATATGAAACTGCTGGATAAGGAAACAGACCCTTCCTCACCAAATCAGTTCATAATGTCTCGCTTCGGTTGAGATTGTCAGAAGCATTCCAGAGCAGTTTACCTGCTGAGTTATAAACATGGCCATTCCACTTCTCATAGGTTATACAGAGAACAAGTTTCATGTGTATTTATAAATACTTTGATTGTGAAATATATACTTTAAAAATTATAATCTTAATTTTTTACATCACAACAGAATGGCCTCCAGATGCAGAAAAGACACAGCAAACACGACTGACTTCATGCCATCGTGTGTCAGTATTGTTCACCAGAGGGACAGGAAGCTTTGGGAGAATTTTCACACCCCCTGGGCTGATGTCAATTTGGAAAGCAGTGCACTGAGAAAAGAATGCATTTCTTTAAAGTTTCCCCTCAGAGAAATAGCTCCTTTCTACAACTGTTTTTTTCTTTAAAGAGAAAGTTTACTGGTGTTTTGTATCAACTGAAAGAACAACAGGTATTTTTCAAGGAGTTTCTTACATGTTTCTTATAACAAAAAGCAACCAATCACAAAAAGGTGAAAAGGGGAATTTAGAATGAGAATCTGACACAATAAGTCCACAAGAAGGGTTAGAATTCAAGTAAAGTGGCAAATTTTACATATGACTTTCTATTCCAAGATTATCTAAATGACTACTCACAGAGAATATCTGAACAACATAAAATACAAATATACCAAAAAAAAAAAACCCTAAACTAAAAGATAGGTTGCTAATTATTATAAAAGGCACCAAATGACTGAGAACATTACAGTTGGAAAGAGCCATATCCAGCATCCATGGGCTCCTGCAGTGTTACAAACCTTTCACTTTTCTATCAGTCTTCAGCATTGTTCTACCTAACATAGAACACTCTTCACTGGCCTAAGAGAAATAATAAAAACTTTAGGTGACCTATTCTGGGTACTTCTCAAGAAATGTCTTAAATAACCACCCCACTGCTGCCATTAATTTATGTAGAATCTGTACCAAGGAGCACAGTATAACAGGCAGTGATTATCTTTATTTTTTTTACAAAACATCCTGGGTAAGTTAAGAGCCAGAAATAATCTATTACATGTTACAGATGGAAAATTTAAGAGCAAGGAGTGACCTGCAATCACAGAGAGTCAGTGATGGGCTGGGGCTGATTCCCTCAATCCCTGACTCCTCACCTTTTGCTCCTGGTATATGATGGTACCTCTTAAATCTTTAAAATCAAAGCATATAATAAGTGCAAATGTCTCAGAACCTCCCATTCACTTTGACTCAGTCCTATACTTCTTTTTGTCTATAACATAAAAGAATCCTAGAGGTGTAAAAGCCCTAAAGGAGCATCTAATCCCCTCATTTTACAGATTTCAAATTTGCTTCTAGAATTAATTTGGGAATTTAAATTAATTGCTAAACAGAAGCAATTGAGAAGGGAGGACTTAGACATATGGAAAAGGAAAAACCAGATGTATATATACCACAAAGATCCCTGGCTCCATTTAATTTCCAGCGATGCCAGTAATTGGGAGGGGGGTTGGGGGGGAGTAAACAGAGGGGAGAGGGTGTTAACGTCAGTGATGTCCTTTGAACTGTGTCCAACATTCTAATTTTTAAGGAAAACATTCCTCCCCCAGCCAACAACTGCAAGCTTATTCCTTATGTAATTGGCATCAGAATCAATATGTGGTTGCTGTAATTTTTCCCCCTTTTACCTTCTAATTGTCCATGTGAGACCACCAAAAGAAGGGGGAAAAGTCAGGCTAGCATTAAAGATGATACCAGATAGTAGAAGTTGGAAAAAATGTGATAAATCATCTATATCTACCAATATGAAAAGATCTCCAAGATACACTGTAAAATCTAAAAAGCAATTTTGCCAAATGAGAGGCAGTATGATACTGTTTTTGTGCGAAAAGTACACGCAAACACAAAGCAATAAAGCAATACTATATGTCTTTCTTTCATAAGCCTATTCATCTGCCAACACCTCTATTTCTAAGTCAATGCACAGAAAAAGGTCTGAGGAATAGATGCCAAGCTGAAAATAAGCATCATTTTCTGCTCTTGGTGGAGAGGTTACTGGGATTGAAAAGGATGGTTGTGAGGGGAACTTAAAGTACTCTCCATAGATATTCTGAATATTTTGAATATATCAATATATTACTTACATAATAAAATTTTTTAAAGAATCAAACATGTACAAAATGGACAAAAGTTAATGGGAATGTGCAAGGGTTAGGTAGAGGCATGCCTGGGCACAAGCATGGGGAAGCCTCGGTTTCCTCGGGAGCTCGAAGTAAAGAGCTGCTGTTTTCCTCCAGCCAGTTTACTCCTTAGGCTCGCCTTCTTGGCCCTATTCTCTAGACCAGCGGTTCTCAACCTGTGGGTCTCGACCCCTTTGGCGGTCGAACGACCCTTTCACAGGGGTCACCTAAGACCATCCTGCATATCAGATATTTACATTACGATTCATAACAGTAGCAACATTACAGTTATGCAGTAGCAACGATATGGTTGGGTCACAACATGAGGAACTGTATTTAAAGGGCCAGAAGGTTGAGAACCACTGCTCTAGAGTCTTTAACATCAATGTGAAGACTTAATCTTGTGGGCTCTGATCCATTCTTTGCTCCTTGGAAAGTGAAATAAGGTAGGAGTCGTAGGTAGATGAGGGTAATGGGTTTTCTTGAGCTTAACTGCTCCACTAGGAATCTACTATGGCTCTTTTCCTCTGTCCTCCAGCTATGATATAAGAGTGGGCTCCTGACTATGTTTATCAATAGGAAGAAGGCCTCCGTTGAACGTCGTTACAAACCAGTTTCATCACTGCTCTGGCCCCAGTGCCTTACAGAGCCAAGTCCTTCCTCCTGGTTGGCCTTGGAAAGAAGTAGTCTGCAGTTACTTGCCCGAACTCTTTCCTAATGGTTGCACCTATTTCCTGGTTCTGGGAACATGGCTTGTTTCTTCTGTCCTATTCTGTCAAGAGTGTTCTTTGTAAAATCTTGGTTTCTTCAGTTCCTCCACATTAGCTCCAGCAAAGAACAGTGTAATCAAAGCACAAAGAGAAAAAGCAAGTTCAAGGAACTATGAGGGAGTTGGTGGGACAAGAGTAGTCGTACTTCTGTGCTTAGCAACAGAGTTGGGGAGGGAGAAATTGTGGTGGAAAATGAGTGGAGAAGAAGTAGATGGAACCAGACTATGAAACCCGTGCGTGATAAGCTAAGGAGTTAGGCTTTATCACTTAACATAATGTGGGCCCATCAAAGGGTTTTTGTTTTTGTTTTTTTAAATATATTTTATTGATTTTTTACAGAGAGGAAGGGAGAGAGATAGAGAGTTAGAAACATCGATGAGAGAGAACCATCGATCAGCTGCCTCCTGCACATTTCCCACTGGGGATGTGCCCGCAACCCAGGTACATGCCCTTGACCGGAATCGAACCTGGGACCCTTCAGTCTGCAGGCCGACGCTCTATCCACTGAGCCAAACCGGTTTCGGCCATCAAAGGTTTTTAAGCCAGAGAATGATATGATCCGATCTGTCTTTAAAGAAAGAGATTTGAGAGAAGTAGGGAGGATGGACTGGGAAATGGAAAGCCTGAAAGGGGAAAAGCGGCTCTCCCAAGAATGGGACTGAAAGATAAAAGGGCCTTAACAGGGCAATGGTTATGAGAACGGAGAAAAGGAAACAAACATATTCAACAGCAATTTTGGAGACAGAAGAGACAGCACTTGTCGATAGACTGGTTGTGGAGACTAAGGGAACATAAGGACTCAAGATGAGTAAGAGGCTGCCAGCTGAGTGGACGGGAGGCCACTGAAGACAGAGAATACAGGTGGGAGGGGCTGTTTACAGAGTGTGTGGAAAAATGAGTTTGGGTTTGTGGAACTGCATGCTAGGATATCAACTCTTTGTAAACTCCAAAAAGATAAGGATCTTGTTTGCTAATTTTCTCTGTGCTATACCTAGTGCCATGCCATGTGCATTTACTCAGGTTTGTGAGGATAGTGATAATGGCGTTCTCTCCCAGGATAATTAAGACTTCACAATATTTAAGGTATCTCTTCAAAGTGCCTATGTAGAAAGGAAATATGAGACGAAGTGGTTTATTCTACTTTTCTGTCAAATTTCTTCTTTCGTTGTTTCCAAAATAAATTTCCAATAATAATAGGGCTTTTAACAAGAAGGTCTATTGCTAAAAGCAGCCTCAGGCAGACTCTAATACCTGTCACAACTTTACATTCTACACATTCCATTAATCAAGCCACATCACCTTTCATTCTCTTTCTTGTTCAGGAACCTGTACTACAACTTAAGATTCTAAAACCTGCCACACCCAATAGTCAAACATATCAAAGACACTTAAACAATTTGAAATAAAGAAGAAACACTGCTGTTTTATTTGAAAAACCTTAGAGGGGTTGAGGGGATATAGGGGAAAAAAGCACCATTTGTTCTGGTTAGTGTTGTTATGCATTGTTTTCTGGGGTTTGCCTTGTAGGCATGTTGAAATCATAACTAAATAAATCAGCTCCAGCTACACAAAGAAACAATACTCCCTTCCCCCGTGGACGCCAGAAGGGAAAATGGCATCTTCTCCATGATGTACACACACTTTGGAGCTGCTTGGTTTTTAATCCTCTGCCAAGTCAAGTTTTAGTTTTATTTTAATCTCAGTAACCACAGTAAATTCCGAATCTTTGACAAGTAAATGCTTTTGAATCCCACTCACTTTCCTTTCTAACTCCTGGAACTTCAGAGTTCAAAAATGCCTGCACTGCTGATCCCTTTTCATGAGGAAGAAAATACATACAATATAAATTAGGTATAGTTCCTGACATTTACAAGTTAGTCTACATGTGAAATAGGTTAAGATAAAATTGTATCTTTCTTGGCCATCATTTAAGTGTGTGTGTGTGTGTGTGTGTGTGTGTGTGTGTGTGCATTTACATGTACTATTGGAGAAAGAACAGCACAGGAAATCAGGAGATCTGGGCTCAAGTCTCATTCGTTTTAGTCAAGCAACTTAAATTGGTTTCCTTGTATCTAAAAGTTAGGAAAGTTGACTGGATGGTTTTTATATGCCCCTCCCTTTCACTTTAAAAGTCTGACTCAAGATTATGGCTATTACCTGATTTTTTTTAACCATGGAAAGCAGTCACTCAAAAAAATATTCCGAAGAAAACAACTAGTTTTTATGGTATTGGAATAAACCTCAGAAATTACCTAATTTGTACAGCTTTGAAACTATATTCCAAGAGTTATAAATTGTTTTATTTATTGGAATGTTCTACAGTTTAAAGAAAAACATTGCAAACTACTCATCTAACCCAACTCTGTCATTCCAAATGAAGAAACTGAGATCAAGATTGGAAGAAGAAATATAACACATCAATAAAATATGGTGCAACTCTTAAACATGATGGCAAGAGAAAAAGGGTCACGAAACGCTTTAGAAGAAATGAGGATATAAAACTGTGTATAAAAAACATGTAGGTATACATCTATTTTTCAGGCTAATAAATTCATTGTATCACTGTCACTAAAACATTGTCACTATTAATATTCAAATAATATAAAATAATAACAAATGAAAAATGAAACAAATGATCCTACATCTCACCATTGAGAAATATTCAGTATTAACATTTAGTGAGAATCACTCCAGACAGCTATTTCACCTATACAGAGGGTAGATGAATGAACAAAAATAAATTTATTATTTCTGGGATAAGAGTGTTACTTGCTTTTAAAAATTACATATATATTTTTAACTTAAAATTAATAGAAGCTAAAATGAAACTTAGGAAAAATTAAGCCTTAGATAAATTCTTCACTCCAAGAATATTAATTGTTAAAATCCCTCTAACTTTGAGGAAAAAACATGATTTAAAAAGCTGTATATCGAGCTGGTACCCTTGACTGGAATCGAACCTGGAACCCTTGGGTCCACAGGCTGACACTCTATCCATTGAACCAAACCAGTTAGGGCTAAAACTATTTAAAATTTTAGACAGTATTGACTAAATTGTTGGTATGAAAGATACGTAGATTAATAATTTCCTCTTCCTTTCCACCTATCTCTCAATTTTTGTTTTACTTGCCATGATGTATAACATTTCCATTCTGTTCTGTTACCACAGCGTCTAGTGTTTCTAAATCTTAGGTTTATATGTAAATCTACTTAATATTCACAATCAGCTTTTATTTTGATTCATCTCTTGGTTGGCTAAATTTAATAGGTAGATTTTCCAGTGAGATCTCAGAGATGCTATATTCTCTGAATTCTTTCACATTTGAGGATTATGTGCTTGTCACCTTCATTCCTCAACTAGAAGCCTGGTGCATGAATTCGTACATGGGTGGGGTCCAGCTGGTCCACCCCAATCGGGGTGGCCAAGTGGAGGCAGGGCCAGCCAGGGGGAGGGGCAACGGGCAGTTGGCAGGCCAGCCCCGCCCCTAATCGGGGTAGGAGGGCCAATCGGGGGTGGGGCCGACCAGGGGGAAGGGCCACAGGTGGTTGGTGGGCCAGCCCCACCTCCTGGTCGAACTCCCAGTCGAGGGGACAATTTGCATATTAGCCTTTTATTATATAGGATTATTATATAGGATGACATCCTGACTAGGAACAATGTTCTTGGGCAATACTTGCTTTCATCAAAACTTTGTCGACACTGCTCCTCTAGAATTTCACTTTGTTGTGATGTCTGAGACCAGTCTAATTCTCTCCCTTATACAAGAGTTTTGGTATTATTATTATTATTATTTGCCAGAAAGACTGAAGAAGTGTTTCCTCAGTAACAACCAGGATTCTAGTTGATACTGATTCTTTTTTACCAATTTCTGTATTCAATGTATATTTTTGATCTGCAGATTTAGTTTTCAATTTCAATGAAGTTTTGCTGTATCACTTCTCTAAAAACTTTTAGTTCAATCTGTTGGGTCCTCTTCCTCACAGACACCAGTAATCCTCTTGATTCATCTTTGTGTCCTATCATTGTTAACTAAACTGCTTTAGTCTTTTGTACCTGTGTTTACTGTGATTATTACAGGCTCTTGCTCCAAAGCATTAACTTTTAAGCTACCTCTATTCTCTTCCTTACTGGTTCCATATCACTTAGTTCTTCAGTGGTGTTGTGCTAGTCTTCGATTTGTTTCCTCAGTCCTGTGAAATCTCTTTTTCATCAATACAATACTATTTTTAAAGTTTTATTATTTGTAAATGTAAAAAGTATGTGTCAATCACATGTTACATAAAAATACTGATACCAAAGAAGGGAAATAATTTGTCTAAAAAAAGTTGGTGGGATGGTATCCTTCAACTACATTATGCTGTTTCTAAGATATTTGCTTGAAATGATAGCTACTGTTTTAAGAGAAGTGAAGTATCCAGCCAAGGACTAAACATCTTTATGTCAATGACCCAAAATGTATCATTTTCCAAGAATAATATTTTTCCTCAAGCTACATGTAGTTGTACTCTTTGAACAACAGGAAGTGTCGGCAATCTGATCACCAGCACACAGTCTGCGTTTCAGACACATAGTGAATGTGAGGGAAAACCTCTCCTGCTTTCTTCCTGACTGATTTCGTTCTTCTATTTCAGGGGTTCAGCAATTACAGACCTCATACAGTTTCTCCATCATAACTGCATATAGAGAAGGAAATTCCTCTCAGTCTGGCAAATTATTGCTTAATATGTGTAGGCTCCACTCAGTATTCTTGAAAAGATAGCTCTCTTAAATGTATTTCCTCTTAGATATACTGTGGGTATATTAATATACGTATACTCTGATGCTAGCACATTCCTAACACCTTGGGACAGGGTCCTAGAACAAAAACCTATTTTTTCAAAGTGAAAGATAAAAACTACAGGCTCTGAAATGTTGTTTATCTGAAATATTGAACTAACAAAACAACAGAGCCTTCATTGATGGTTAAGAAAACAAATGTGATTTATAGAAAACAATCATAAAAGTTTTGAAAAAACATTTTTTTAGGAAGAAGAAAAATGATGTCATAGAAAGATCAAGTGAAGTGGAGTCAAACCATTCCTGGATTTGAGTCTCAGCTCCTTGCAAGCTGTGTGAATTCTGAATAAGCCATTTAGCTTCTCTGAACTTGATTCTTCATTTGCTCAGTAGGTGAACAGTATTATTTCTGCCAAGCAGTCCATTTAAATGTTTAATATAGAATATTAACTTTATGTATTTCTATAAAGTTTATAAAGTGATTTTACAAAGAAGGTCTTATTCTTGGCAAAAACAAGCAAATATATGATTGATGATTCTTGGCAGGAACAGACAAATATATAATTGATAAAGGCTATCTTTATTTTTCAATGCTAATGTATTGACCAAAGGAAGCCAGGAGAATCAAACAAGCATTGTGAGATAACAAAAATCATAACCTAAATTCCAAGAGTGGTTATAAGTGGCCATTGGTTCCTATTGTACACACATAAACCTCAATAGGTTACAGAATAAGCATAAAACTGAAGAATCTAGAAATCAAATAATACAAGAAATGTCCCTTATAATGGGTTAAAGTAAAAATGAGGAACGTGAAAAACTAACAATAAAAGATATAGCAAAAAAAAGGTAGCTAGTAACCCCTGAAGGTCCCTTTGAAATATAATTAAATATTTCATGCTAAATCTAGATAAAAGGCAGACAAGGCAAGATAAGGAGGAAAAGAAAGGATTTAAAGGAATTATTTAAAAGCTACCATATCAGTTTAGGAAGTTTCTTTTTAGTGTCTGGAACATTCTAACAAAGAAAACTAAACTTAATAATCTTGTCCACAGTGTGGATGCCCTGTTTTACAATTTAGTGAGTTAAATAGATGACACTGTGAAGGAGGATAAAGTAGTAAAATTTGTTTTTACTAAAACAAGAGTTGGAGCATCTTCAAAAATATATTGAGACTATTCACTTGGCTCCAGCTCCTTTCCACCGAATTTACATTCCCCCTCCAACACTATTCCAGAAGCCTGCCCCAAATAAGAATAGGGGAGAAAATAAAGAGGAGTATTTCTTCACTACAGCTTTTATCTGAATTTTCTGTTTACTATATTCAGTCTTGATTTCATACCAAGTTTATTTGACAAGCTCTTGGTGGTAAAACTAGACACCAGATTTTTCCTTCATAAAAACCAACGTGGGTGGTGTCTTTGTATTTTTCATCTTTTTTATAAGAGGGTACCTCTTTGCAGTGGCATGAGACCTCAGAGAGCTGTGTGAGACCTTCTGCTGCCCGGCCTGGCCAGGCAGTCGGCAGTGAATTCCACCTCTCTGTAATTCTACTGGATTAATAGTTATCAGCAGATCTGGTCAATCTGAAGACAGGAAAGGAAAGAAATGCATAAAGGAAATCATTGTCATCAAATAAAAAGAAAGCTTCGTGTACACAGCTCTATGCTCAGCATTATGCAAAGTAAACAGACATGATTCCTGCCTTCCAGAGGCCTCCATGCAAAAGCAGATGGTGTCGACACAGACATATAAACAGACTTTCACAGTGTAGAGCAGAGACATGATGGCTGCCAGTGGGCAGAAATAAATCAACAACAGCTAAATATTTACAAAATGTGAGAGATTTATGATGTGCAGTGGATTTTGTGTAATACGTGGAATGGTCTCTGGAATTGGTGGGGGTGGGGTAAAGATGCAGTTCTTTTGTGTCCTGATCCTGCTCTGTCTCTGACTCCTCGTGTAACCTTGGGTTTTAATCTTATAGTGACTATTTGTTGCCCTATAAAAATGAAATAATAGCATTCAAATTTCTTCCAGGTTGTATACACTATAAATGCATAGTCTCCTGAGAATATAGCATAGAAAATTCTATTATGATTTCTAATGAAGTGAATCAAGATAGAAATTCAATTTTTAAATCTCCCATCAAAAATATTCTCCCATGATATACTTTGTGATACCAGTTAACCATCTGGGGACATGAACTTTTGAAATGGTTGACCTGAACTTTTGATTAGAGACCGGGAATCTGAGTGTTATAAACGGTACTGTCATTCCCCATCAAATGTTACCTGTTTTATTTCTCTGAAACTTCCTCTGGCCATTTTCATCTCTTTGTTCCTTCTTTTTTCCAATTTCTTTTCTTTTCACCTTTTTTTGTTGTTGTTGTTCTCCTCTAACTGTGGGATCTACACAGATAAGGTGCCTATATGAGGCTCCCCAAACAGAGGGACCTTTCTCCCTCCAGTTTCAAAAAAGGAAGGAGCCTGTTTTTTTGTTTTGTTTTGTTTTTTAATATATTCTATTGATTTTTTACAGAGAGGAAGGGAGAGAGATAGAGAGTTAGAAACATCGATGAGAGAGAACCATCGATCAGCTGCCTCCTGCACATCTCCTACTGGGGATATGCCCGCAACCCAGGTACATGCCCTTGACCGGAATCAAACCTGGGACCCTTCAGTCCGCAGGCCGACGCTCTACCCACTGAGCCAAACCGGTTTTGGCGGAAGGAGCCTGTTTTTAAAATATCTTAAATACATCATAAAATGACACTGAATTAAGATACCTAAGAGATTATCCAGTCACAGGAACCATCTTTCAGCACCTAAGCTGTGCCATCTTCTTTTCTGTCCAGGTGTTTCACTGTTTGGATCGTCCTTTCACTCACTCTCTCCAGCTTAACCAAGCCAATACCCATTCACTTTTCCCGAGGGAAGTCTTGCGTTTTGCTTCTTTCCTTTTTTTAACTATGTTCACAGTCTCCTGGACTTCTCCTCTGACATTGGCATGTGTCACATCCTATTTTATGCATCTATCATCTCTATCATCCACAAGACTGAAAGGTCACATGGGCAGGAAGTAGGACTTTTCTTTATCTCCTGGCTCTAGCACAACACCAGGCACATGGGAGGCATTTAAAGAAGGTTGAAGAGCTCTAACTGGTTTGGCTCAGAGGATAGAGCCAAAGGTCCCAGGTTCGATTCCGGTCAAGGGCATGTACCTTCGTTGCAGGCACATCCCCAGTAAGGGGTGTGAAGGAGGCAGCTGATCGATGTTTCTCTTTCATCGATGTCTCTAACTCTCTATCTCTCTCCCTTCCTCTCTGTAAAAAATCAATAAAATATATTTTAAAAAAAGAAGGTTGAAGAGATGAATGACTAGCCAATCATGTGACCCAAACAATTAAAATATGTCCCAAACCTTTTTCTTCTTTGTAATCCTCACTCAAGGCTATTTTTTCCGTTGATTTCGAGAGAGAGTGGAAAGGAGGGAGGAGGGGGAGAGAGAGAGAAACATCCAAGTGAGAGAGACACATTGATTGCCTCCCGCATGTGCCCCTACCTGGGCTGGGGAACCTGCAACTGAGGTACGTGCCCCTGACCAGAAATCATACCTGAGACCCTGTAGGCCAACACTCTAACCACTGAGTAAACCAGCCAGGGCCGTTCCTAAAACTCTTGGGAGCACTTCCCAACAGAGCTTTCTGCAATAATGAAAATGTTCAGTATCTGTGCTGTCCAGTACAGTATCCGCTAGTCATGTGCAGCTACTGAGCACTCAAAATATGATAGTGCGGCTGAATTTTTAATTTTTTAAAAATTTTCATTCCCTTTAACAGCCACATGTGGCCAGTGGTAGACATAATGGACAGTGCAGCTCTAGAATCACATATAAAATATACATAACTTGGTTTGCTTATACAGTTTAATATACTGAACATTAATACAGTTTGCTCTAATAATTAAAATTTCTATAGTAAAATTTCTCTTAACAGAATATAAAATTTTTGAGAGCAGGATTTTTTATCTCGTTCATCATCATCTTATACATAACAGCTATTTGAAAACACTGTACAGTTAAACTAAACTGAGATACCAACTGTTCAAATGTAAAGACCTTCGTGTCCCTTGTAGTTTCTTTCCAGTTTAAGAGTAGCAGGTAAAACCATACAACACCCATTAAAGTAAAACAAAACAAAAAAAAGATGCTATGTTGTCTGGACTGTGTCCTCCATAGTATCAATGAGCAACTACCTAAAGGCTTTACTTTCAAAAAAGGAACCAAGGGAAGAATGTTCTTAAATATGTCCCACATCTCCACTTCTGTTCCATCTCTGTTCATGCCATTTTATTTACCAAAAGTCTCACTCTTAGCCCAATACCATCCTATTCAGCCTCAATTCTACATCTACTACAATGTCTGGTTCTCAAACCCCTCCTTCATGAAGCATTCACCTTGGTAAAAGAATGGGATCTGTCTTAGCTACAGAGTCCTCTGCTTTGTTCTATACATGTTCATCAAGTTTATGAAATACAATTAATGTTAGCCACATAGAATCTAATGTCTCACTTTCCTGAACTGTCACCAATATCTATATGTAATGTTTCATTTTTATTATCACCACAAATTCTAAAAATTAAAAGTCTTCTTGGATTGAGTCAAACAACTTTTACACATCAGCCTATTTCTTGATTTGGTGTTTTTCCAAACCTAGAGCATATCTTTCATATGAAGCAGAGGAAATCAGAAACAAGAGGAGTCAGACATTGTGTCATGCAAAACTATGCCACTAAGTGATAGAAGCAATACGCTTGGCATAATCCCAACCTACATTCCCTAGAACAAGTCCCTGGAGAGATTCTGTTTTCTTGTAACGTTTGAAAATACCTTCAGGTCCTAAGTGTGTGTGTGTGTGTGTGTGTGTGTGTGTGTGTATTATATATATTGCTTTTTTGTGATCCAGCTATAAGTAGTAACAATACCATCATCATTTATATTTCCTTTATTTTAATTTTTTAATTTATTTTATAGAGAGAAAAACATCGATGTGAGAGAGAAACAGATCGGCTGTCTCCTGCCCGCACCCTAACCAGGGATCAAACCCACAACCTGGGCATGTGCCTGACCAGGAACTGAACTGGCGACCTTTCAGAGCATGGACCATGCTCAATCAACTGAGCCACACTGGCCAGGGCATCATTTGTATTTCTGAATCCAAGACATGCATTAGCATAAAGTATCTGACAACAGAAGTCTTCACAATTCTTGGTAATAGTAAAGCCATGTTTTGAGCCTTAAAGACACTGAAGTCATTAAGGTCCCTGAAAATGGTTATGAGAAAAAAAAAAAAAAAGTTGTTACAATCTGAGAGCAGCCTTTCATGAAATTTTCTCTTGTTGTTTCAAGCAAAAAAAAAAAAAGAAGAAGAAGAAGAAGAAGAAGAAGAAGTAGAATTTTACTAAAGAAAGGCAAGAAATAAAATTAACTGTTCATCCTCAATTGTGTCCTCACTAAAACTCAGCAACTTATCTCATTTTAACTATTTATCACTGCAACTACACCACATCTTTCCTCCTCTCTCCTTTCTCCTCATTCCCAGATGATGACTTTGCCTTTCTTTAATAGGATGTCCGAGGTCATGTGGCATATCCTCCCATAGCATCATCTGTCCTCCACTAGGAAACTCCTCTGTACCTCACCCATCTTTTGTCCTCCTTCCCCTCTGACCTCTAAATATTCCCTCCCAATGTCTATACCTCAACCCATACACTTTATCTTGTTCTTTCCAGACTCCTCCAAGATCTGTCAGTCAATAATCAACCCTCTACTCTCCAGTACCTTCTCTCCCTCCTTCTCCAAAGGCTTCTTTACCTCTGCCTACAGATGTGCTCATTTTCCAATTTTTTTAAAAAAAAAGACAAGGGGAAAAATAGCCTTAATCAACCCTGGTACTCCTATAGATAATATTTCATCTCTATCATTTCATGCAAATTGTCTGGAACTCCATCACAGCAACAACCGAAGGGGGGTTAGTGAGGGAAGACCAAACAGCTGAACAGCAGGCTGCGTGGGGTGACCAGGCCGGCGAGGGTGACCAGGCCAGCAGAGGGGGGCAGTTGGGGCAACCAGGCTGGCAGGGGGAGCAGTTGGGGGTGACCAAGCCAGCAGGGGGGGGAATTAGGGGTGATCAGGCCAGCAGACAGAGGCGGTTAGGGGTGATCAGGCTGGCAGGAGGGGCAGTTAGGGGTGATCAGGCAGGTGAGCAGTTATGAGCTAGCAGTCCCAGATTGTGACTGTGTTCATACACTGTCAGAATGCATGACATGGTTTAATATCACTTCTCCCTGCATAGCTGGTAATCTATAATAATAAAAGCGTAATATGCTAATTAGACCAGATGTCCTTCCAGATATCCTTCCGGACATGGCGGGCGGGGGCCAAGGCAAGAGGCTCCCAGCTGCCGGAGCAGCGGGGGCCAAGGCCCTTGCACGAATTTCATGCATCAGGCCTCTAGTTCATTAATATTGCTGAAATACTTCATTCTTCCTCTACACATAGATTTTATCTGCTTAAAATTGAACAATGGTATGCACTTTGTTATTGACAATGATACTTTCAAATGATACTTTCAAAACTTTGGACAACTTTTAAAATTCCTAGTTATGCTTTTCTCTATAATGAAGCCGGGAGAATTTTCTACCTTTGGTTTGGGCAGTATTCGGTAACGTGAGGAG